ATGGCACTCGTAGGGGGGCTCAGCAAATGCAGCTAACAAGGGGCAGCACCAAGCTTTGCTGCTGGGGTAAGAAAACGGGGGGGGGGGGCTGCTTTTCTCCAGCTCTGGCAGCCAGTGAAGCTGGCCAAAGGTGGTGCTGCTAACCTGCAGCCGGTTTGCCATGATCAATGACTGACCACATTCCAGGTAATTGCTCTGTCCCATGGTGTCTTTCCCCCTGCTTTGCTAGGCTGAAATCTGCCTGTTGCTGCTTTGCCCATGCTGCCAGCTGGAGGAGCTGGCGATGGTGAGGGGAGCATCCTTTCCCCGCACAAGCTTAACTCCAGAGCAGCACCAGCCTTTCCTGGCTACCAGGGAGACCCAAATGCCATCCTGACTTCAAAGGATGAATTGGTAACTGGAATGGTAGCTAGCAATGTGGGGCTTGGTCAGCAGCAAAATCAGGAAACGAAGGGCAGAGAGGGCATAGGGCAGTCTGTTTGCACTCAGGCTGTATGCTCAGCCTGTATATTCCCTTCCTTTGTAAGTGTTGCTAAGCTCCTCAGCACAAGGGATGCAGTGGGTTTGTATTTCCAATGCACACATCTGGGTGGCACACGCTTCCATTGGGAGAGGCTGGTGCCATTTGTGCTGCCTTCTAGCTGTGGGGCATCCTGGGCTGCTCTGCCTCCCCTGCATCCCTGTGAGAGGGGAGCAGGGATGCTCTCAGGAGCAAGAGCTCTTTTACTGGCTGGCTGCTGTGCCTGGTCTCTGAGCTCCCGGTGACAAAGGCAAGCTGGGAGGATTGCATTGGGAAGAAGCAGGCTGACAAGCCTCGGGCTTGAGTTTCCTGTGCTTACTACAGAGGCTGCCTGCCTGCCCTCTGGTCCTGTGCCGCTTTTCTTGTCATCATAGGAAATGTTCAGCATAGGCTAATAACGTGATAGCCAACCAAGAGAACAAGGTGTGCACGGTCTCCCAGTGTGCCACACAGCCTTGTGATGGAGTTCCTTGCTTCAGTGCCCTGCAAGAGGAGAACATTGTGGCTGGCACTATAACCTTCTCCAAGTGAATTGCTTTTCCCCTTGCTCTGATGTTGGGCTTTTTAAGGTGATTGTGGCAGGCCTTGGTGCACAGGCAAATTTCTACTGCATCTTCTCGCTCTCAATGAATGATTTGCAAGTCAACTGGCAGAACAGAAACGGGTGCTCCAGAGCATAGCCACCTACCACCCAAACCACGGGCTTCTGTCACTGTGCAGCCTCAACAGAGCACATTCTTTTATAATAGCAGAGTACCCTCTAGCGGGAGAGACCATGAATGAGAGTGAAAACCCCTCCAGGGAGTCTCCCATTCAACCTTACCCTAGGTATCAAGAAATTACAACTACCGTATCTAAATGCATTCAGGAACAACATGAGGAAACGACCTTACGGCTTTATGTGGTCGTTGGAAAAGAAGACATTGAAAGGGACTGACAGAAGGATTTGGGCATTTGGTTTTGGTCCTGCCTTGCTCTCCTGCAAGGAGCTGAGAAGGAAATGTGGGAATGTTCCCAAGTCTGTTCTCCAAGCTGCCAGGCTGGCCTGCGATGGATCAAAGGTGTGCTAGAGATGAAATGGGAATGGCAGGCATTGGGTAGTACCTGGGAAGGCATCTAGGCTGCCCAAGTCCTACTGACGAGCTCTTCCCAGGGTTACCTCCTGGGAGAGCTGGATTTTCTGCAGCTGGGCCTCTTGGTCAACAGACCTTTAGAAAACAGACTCTGGCCTCTTGGCCAAGGGACCTTTAGCAGTCAGTCTCAAGTCACCATTTAAAGGACAACTGTTCCCTAGGGTCTGAAAACCACACGCTGATTCAGCTTGCCTTGGCGTTTGTCATGCCGCATGCACGTAGGTTAAAATGGGGGGCTTCAACGTGGTGTTGAAATGTAATGAGACTTGTAATGAGAGTTTCCTGAGATTAAATGCTTAAACACTCAGAAATTCTATTATTTGTATTTTTTTCAGGGAAATATCTGTGTGTTTTTCCATCATAACCATGGGCACACATGCGATCTCCAGCTGTGGCTGTGGCTGGAAGATGTCAATATATGTGTATGAAGACAAACTAAAAGGTGGGTGAGTTTAATTATTGCTGTTCAAAAGTCACTTTAGTTCCCAGGAAATGGAATTAGTGCAGGCTCAGTGCTGGGAGATAGCTACTGATGTTATGCCAGCTGAGTTGTTCAGAGTCGGCTGAAGGAGGAGGAGAGGAATAGCCCCACTTCCGTATTTCTGGCAAGAAATAAATGGTTTATCTTCAGTGCAAAGTGCAGGGGTTTTAGGAGTAAAAAGCTAGATCTGGTGATTGAGAAGGAAAACCGGAAACACGGTGAAATGCACACCAGAAAACAAATAGGCAGAAGAAGGGTTGGCTTCCCCAGAGCATCCCACTTGTTTGCTTCTGTTAAAGCAGTCCAGCACTGGATTTCTACAGGGCAGATGACCTGGTTTTCACTACTCTTCAGGCAGGAGTTTAGAAGTGCTCTGTGCTTCTTCCTGATGGACTCGAATTAAATGTTTCTTTCAGTTATTTCCTTTCATAAGGAAGAAACTGATCAGTTTTTGGAAGCAAAACCAAACAAAATGCTGAAACCAAAGCTGTCCCAAAGCCAGCTTCACTCACAAGCCCCAGGTGACAAGCCCAAGCGTGCTTGCTTTATTTAGCGTGCCTGTCCCAAGAGCTGAAGGAGGCTCTCTGGGATGGCAAAAATCAGTATAAAATATTGTAATGACTGTCTCACCTTTCTTTTATATAATACCCTTTCCTGGCTATCAACTCGCTTCCTCCCTAGGATTTGCACTGTCTGAGGTGCAAGTATATCTACTAGCCTGTGTAATAAGCAGCACACTTCTGAGTGGGTCCACACAGGCAGCATTCATGACTCAAGGAAGAGTTGCTTGAGCCTGATGATGAAGGGAGATATACTAATTTATGCAAGCAGAGAGCAAGCCTCTTACTTTCCAGACCCTTTCCTCATTTTGATTTCTCTTCAAGTTCCCCCAGCCCACTGAAGGGGCATGAACATTTCGATGTATCTAGAATTGTTCCACCTCCATAGATATGAGTTACAGGGTGAGCTAATATAAAATAGCATTTAAGTCCCTCAAACGTCCCCTTTATTTTCATGAAATAAAAGCAGGAAGATGTCCCTGGGACTTTCCTGCTTTTGTTGCTTTGACGGCACAGGGCACTTCTGGATAAGTTCATTTTAAGCTGTGTAGTTTGCAGTTCTCTAGAGTTCCTTCTGAAATCCCCTCAGTTGTCGTGAAGGCAGGTGAACACAGTAAACTTGCCAACACTTTTTTCCTGTGTGAAGGGTGTAGGTATGTCAGCCCCATCAGGAGATCTGACCTGCTTTAGAGGGAACCCATTCTCCACTTGGAACAAAGAGCGGAGGGCTCATAGGGGGAAATCTGAGTGACTTCGGGACCTATTTATCAGTCCTAGGAGGCAGGAGAAAACGTTGAAACCAAGGTAGTGGCAAAGGTTGGGCTGTGGCTTGCTCGCTGGCAGAGGAGCACCTCCACTAAATTGAGCACGGTGATGGAGAAGATGCCTCCAAGAACAGCTGGAAGAGGCACTGCCCTGACCCCAGCCTTCAGCAACAGCTTAGACCTCATCTGGTGGGGTGATGGGGGCTTGCCTCCTTTGCCACTTTGCCACAGAGGGCACTGCTTTGGGCACTGAGATAGTGAGAGGAGAGAAACAGGCATGGCTAACGCATGGGTGAGCCTAAGATTACACAGGAAAAGCTCAAACACCACCCCATTCCTTAGGACCGCTTAACAGCAGTGTTCCAAATATTCCCAACATCTGTGTCTTCAGTAAGATCAAGTTTCTGGTTTTATGTGGCCTCTTGGCCAGTGTGTGGGCATCTTTGTCAATTAATTTTGGTTGGGGATTGAAATTGTGTCAAGCCTGGTATTTTTCCCCATAAGCAAGTATGTTTCAGAACAGGAGACCTTCTAGAGCCTTGCAAGGGAGTATTACAGTTGGTATGAACGATGTATGGACACGTGTAGGTGTGTGTGTGAAAGCAGCGAAGAAACAGCAAACAGCAGACATTGAATGTCCTACACTGATTGAAAAGGATGTTGTTTCTGATTAATCTAATCAAGAAATGGGTTGTGTCTGTCAAGCCTGGTGAGTGACCTGCAGCTCATCATGACAGTTTGTGGTAATTAAGAAGAATACAATCCCAGGTTTACCAAGACCTCAGTGCTTTTGTTGCGCAACTTCCAGTGAAGCCTCACAGCATATAAACTCAAGAAACCTACAGATACTTTCTGGAACACTCAGTATTTGCAGTCCAGTATCTGGATGGTGAATGCCACAGCTCTTTGCCATTGCTATTATTAGTATTACTATTTATAATGATCATTATTATCACGTTATGTTCTTGCTGTTGGATTCTCAATTTAGTGCTCGATGATAGGAGTTGGTGTGACTGTCGCTACCCTTGGACTTAAACTAGGGAAGGACGTGCTTTGAACATAAAAGCAACTTACTCTGCTGCACGCTAGAATGCAACCCGACGTTTCTCAGGAGGATGCCCAGGTTTTTGCAGCTGCTGCTCAAAAGCAGCGCGATAATCCATCCTGGAGAGCTGCTGGAAGTAACTCCGTGCTGTCAGCCCCGTGCTGCTGAAACCTCGCCGCGCTTCAGGTTTGAAGTCAGAACACGATTCTTCAGGCTGTTTTTTGTTCTTTCAAGGTCAGTTTGCTAATTTGCTCGCTATCAAGAATCCCGGAGGGAAAAAGAAAACGGGGCGGGGAACCCCTTTGCAGCCAGGTCCAGGGGCAACGGAGGGTTGTTGTGATGTCTATCGCATTAGTCCGTTTCAGGCGCCTACGGCGTTACCGCAAGTTCCCATCTACTCGAGATAGCATCTTCCCCCTCCCGTTTTTTTCCACTCCCCCAGGGCGGAGCGGGCCCGCCCCACTCCCTTTCCCATAGGAATGAATGGAAGGTCGGGTTTCCCGGCTTTCCGGAAGCATTTCCATGGTTTGAGGTGGGTTTTAGGGAGAGGAGAGGTAGGGCGTGTAAGCCGCGGGTGGTCGTGGGGAGTGAGGGAGGGGAAGCTGCCGAAACCCCACGGCGGGGCTCGGGGGAGAGGCCTGTGCCCTGCGGCCCTTACCCGCTCACGATGCATTGCCCCGGGGAGTTCTGTCCGCCGCCAGCAAGGATGAACTGGGAGGAAGCGGTGCAGTGATTGTGTCGTGATTTTAGCCCAGACGGTAGCTGTGTGTTAGAGCTGAACCCAGAACGGGGTCATTGAGCCGGGACGCACGCAGCAGTTCCCCGCTGGAGCGAGCGGCATGGAAGAGTTTTCCCGGCCAAGTCGCGAAGGAGCGGAGGATCCAGCGGAGGGATGCAGCCCGTGATCCAGGGGACCTGTGAGCTACGTGGCTTGGCGAAGCATGATTTGCTCGTTACTTGCCCTCGCCTTACACGGTTTGCTGCCTGAGACTTGGTTCTGCGAACGGTTTAGCTGCATAATCTGGTTCTTTACGTGAAATCTTGTAGCCACAGAGGCTGCGAGCAACGGCATGTTAAAAGCTTTAGCGGGTCTTAAAGCAGCGAGATAGAGGGGCTGTTACTGATAACTGCTTTACTGGTTTGTAAACTTCTGTTACTTCTTTATAAACCTTCACTGATTTATAAGCACTTCTGTAACTGGAAATGCCTCTCTCGGTTGCTATGCTGGCCCTCGATTTCTGCATGGTTTTTGGAATATATGCATTTGTTAGACCTGGGCTCATGTATCTGGCTACACTGTGTTATCTGGTGAATATGTTATTTATTGGGCTTGTTGGTGATGGATTTTTGCTTCCTGATTTTACGTATCTATGTTTTTACATACTTGGGCTTGGTCTTTACATCCTTGGCAACTGTGGCGTTGTATCAGGAGCTGCTTTAGTACAGTGAGCTTAAAACTTAAAGGCAGGCTGCTGGTTAGGGTGTGCACAAGTTTGCTGGGAATTTCTTTCTTAAACAGTTTATTTTTTCCCTAACTCATCGTTTTTTTTTCATCCACCTTCCTTTTTTAAGCTGTGTGATAACCGAAAATGCTTTACAGTTCACTCGTGTTACAGAGGTATTTAATGCAAAATCATGTTTCCACTTGTCCTGGTTTGGCCTGGGATAGAGTTAATTTTCTTTCTAGTAGCTGATGCAGCGCTGTGCTTTGGGTTCAGTCTGGGAACAATGCTGATACACTGGTGTAGTTGTTACTCGTAGCGCTTATCCCAGTCAAAGACTTTTCAATCTCTCATGCTCTGCCAGTGCTGGGGGGGCTGAGAAGCCAAGAGGGAGCAGAGACACAGGACGCTTGACCCAAACTAGACAAAGGGGTATTCCATACCACAGCACATCATGCCCAGTATAGAAACTGGGGGGAGTTAGCTGGGAGGGACTGATCACTGCATGGGCTGGGTAGTGGTCCATGGGCAGTGAGCAATTGTATTGTGCATCACCGCCTACTGGTTTATTTTTGCTTTCTCTCTTTTCCTCTCTCTCATTATTTCCATTATTATTAGTAGTAGTAGTGTATTTTACTTTAGTTATTAAAATGTTCTTATCTCAACCCATATGTTTTACATTCTTTCGATTCTCTTCTCTATCCCACCTGGGAAGGGTGGGAAGAGGGATAACTGCCGGGCTGCATGGTACTCAGTTGCCAGCTGGGTTTATACCACAATACCACTTAAATATGACACCAGCTCCCAATTCCACAATTCAGGGGAATTGTGGCAGTATTAACTGATTGAGGGAATGGGAAGCAGGTCAAAAGCTGTTCACTAGGGAAAGCAGCAACATAACCTGATTTTTGCCTATTTCCCACTTTGGAAATCTATTTGTGTGTGGCAGGTGCACTATGGCCCCAAACTTCCCCAATTCATGTAATTTTGGACAGATGGGGAGTCCTGAAGTCCTCAGAGAAGTTGCTTTCAGTTTACCCCTTGATCTCACAAGCTCACTCTACCTCTCCCAGTGCCATAGCTAGTGCTGGACAACCAATATCTCATGCTTTGATGGTTTAATGCCCTTCTAAGTTACATGCAGTTTTTTCCCCACCTTGACCAGAGCACTTTCTGTTTTGTGTATTAAGAGCTGCTATAATTCACTGTCTGCCCCCAGAACTGTTGTTCTTATACAGCAAAGTATTGTGAATGTGTGTACTCCAGAGACATGGTATCCCCAGAAGATGATTTGTCATTGAGTCAACCATCTCTCCTTGTTTTATTTCAGGTGAAGCAGATTTTACCTTCCAGAATGACTTTCCAAGCTCTGATTTTGTGTCTGGCTTGTGCTGGGCTTGGGAAGGCAAATGGTGAGTTGCATTTTCTGAAGTCATGTTGCTGAGGTGAGTAGCTCCCATCTCCTGCAGCAGGGGGGCTGAGCTGCGGGAGCCTGTCAATAGACTAAGAGATGTCTGGGAAGCTGGGAGGGAGCTGGACTGCTGGTTCCAAGCCCAAAATGTGCTGAGGCCACAGGCCTCCACTCTTGTACAGACAGAAAGGAGGGCATTCATTGCTCCAGGAGGCAGAGAATTTGTAACAAATAAGAGAAATCCAACAATGAAAGGAGGAAGGGGCTTCCTCCAAAACCCAACATCCCCACCCAGAACTGCTTCACAGCTCTGCAGGGAGCTAATGGGCAACACCCACCACACCAAATGACCAACAAGCTGACACCAATAAAGAGGATCACTACTGTTGCCTCTAGGAAAAAGGAGTGGGTCATAGTAGTAGGTGACTCTACTTTGAAAGGCACAGAGGCACCCATCTGTCAGCCTGACCCAGTCTGGACAGAGGTGTGTTGCCTACTGGGGGCTTGGCTCAGGGTTGTTGTTACAGGCTGCCTGTCTAGTGAGTCATATTGACTCATATGACCTCATGCTAGTGTCCATGCTGGTGTTAGTGATGTGGACAGCAGTAGCCTGGAAAGCATTAAGGACTACAGAGCCCTGGGAGAGGTGGTTAGGGGCTCTGGAGCTCAGAGAGTTTTTAGATTGATCCTCAAGGTCAAAGGGGAGGAGCTTGAAAAGGCCATGTGGATCTGGCAGGTTAACAAATGGTTAGTACAGTAGTGCCATAGTCAGGGCTTTGGTTATTTGGAACATTGGACTAGATTTGGGTGGCCAGGTCTACTGGTGGATGGTGGAGTTGGTCTAAGGGAAGAGCTGCTTTGGTAGGAGACTTGCCAGGCTGGACAAGGCAGCTTTGAATTATATTTGCTGGGGGAGAGGGGCGCTGATCCATCCCAACACTGCCAGTGGATACCAGCACCTGTAATGAATGCTCAGAGCGATGCAGAGCCACTCCAGCCAATGCGACGGCTTTATTTGGAGCTCGGCCCAGATGCCCCAAAACAAACAAGATGTGGGGAGTAAACAAGAGGAATTAGAGATGTGTACATGTCTATGGGGATATGGTATCACTGGAGTCACAGAAACGTGGTGGGATGGCTCCTGTGACTGAAGTGTTGGCATGGAGTATTATAGGCAAAGAAGTCATTGAGAACCTCAGCCTTCTACAGATCTGGGGTAGCCAGTTCTCCCATTAGCTTCCAGAGAGGGCCCACGTTATCCCTAGTCTGTCTTTTGTTAGAAACGTACCTATAGAAGCCTTTCCTGTTAATCCTTGACATGCCTGGCCAGACACAATTCTAACTGGGCTTTAGATTTCCTGACCTGATCCCTAGCTACCCAGACAATGCCCCTGTATTCTTCCCAGGCCACCTGTCCTTGCTTCCACCTTCTATATTCTCCTTTTTTCCTTCTAAGTTTTCTTAGCATTTCCTTATCCATCCATGGAGCAAGTCCAGAGGAGGGCCGTGAGGAAGATAAGGGGGCTGAAACACCTGCTGCATGAAGATAGGCTGAGAAAGTTGAGGCTGTTCAGCCTGGAGAAGAGAAAGCTGCGTGGAGACCTCAGAGCAGCCTTCCAGTATCAGAAGGGGGCCTACAGGGATGCTGGAGAGGGACTCTTTGTTAGGGACTGTAGTGATAGGACAAGGGGTAATGGGTTCAAACTTAAACAGGGGAAATTTAGATTGGATATAAGGAAGAAGTTCTTTCCTGTGAGGGTGGTGAGGCACTGGAATGGGTTGCCCAGGGAGGTTGTGAATGCTCCATCCCTGGCAGTGTTCAAGACCAGGTTGGACAGAGCCTTGGGCATGTGAGGTGTCCCTGCATGTGGATGGGAGGTGGGGGGTTGGAACTAGATGATTTTAAGGTCCTTTCCAATCCAAGCCATTTTATGAAATCTGCCAGAAAAATGGCTGGGGAGCTGGTTCCTGAGGCTTCAACACTCAGAGGCAAAAATAGGTGAAATGCAGATTGGTGGTGCCATTTGATGTACATTAGATGGCTGAGGCATCGATACGGAGGTGGCGGATGTGAGACAAGACCTCCTGGAGCAGCATCCCGTATCTACAATGACACTGGACACTGCTTTTCACATAGCAGATCCTCCCCTCAGAAGCAAATATGTCTTTTTCTTTTAAACAGCTTAGAAGAAAGGCAGAGCCTTTTCTTCTAATCATTATGTTGATGTAAATCAACGTAACTTCATTGATTTCTAGGAGGCTGCAGGGGAAGGGCTTTCTGGTGGGGGGAAAACTGCAGAAGCAAATGTGTAATTGTTGGAATTGTTGCATCTTCTGGGTAATCCAGGTAGTTCTTAGAATCAGAATTAGGCTTCTTAATATGTGTGGTATCTGCCTGTTTCACCATTTCATATCATCGCAGTGGTTCCAGAGGCTGAGCACAGAAACGTGAAGGTGGGCGACAGCGTGACTCTCCGCTGTACCCTGACCGAACCCAAGGATGTTCTGCAAGTGACGTGGCAAAAGGACTCTGACGAATCACACAATAATGTAGCTACATACAGTACAGTAAAAGGATTGAAGATTCATGGGCCCTATCAAGACCGACTGAATTTCACCAGTCTGGTACTCAATGAGACAAGCATCACTTTTTGGGACACTAGAATGAACGATTCGGGGTGTTACACATGTCTCTTCAATACTTTCCCTTACGGCTCCCTCTCAGGACGGACCTGCCTGAGTGTCTTTGGTAAGACTCTCTGCAAGGATATGTCTGTAGTAGGAAAAGGGGTGTTTTCTCACCCACAAAATTTCCTTGAGCAGATTCAGGAACCGCAGTGGTAGGAGCATCCCTTGGTGGAACATGGTATAGACACAGAGCATTAGTGCTGTGAGCAAGATTCTGTGGGGTCATATTCAAGCCTATTGTGGTGGGTTTGGCTCTGGGCTGTCCTTGTTTGAGTAACAGTTAAAAAGCAAGGAGGGGGATCTTTGTTTATCAGCCCCCGAGTAGTCCCAGCTGGAGCTTTGGCAAACCAATATTGCCTGTTGCAGTTTACTCTTGGTACCAGGTACAGGCCTGGTGCTGTGAGCTGCTGTGCCAAACTCTACCACTGATAGGGAATTAGCAGATAGGACAACAGCATGGACCAAGAAATGGTTTTACTTAGATTATTTTTAAAACCTGGCATTTTTGGTTGAGTGACACTTTGGGGCTGTATAACTTCAGTATAAGGGAAGGGGTATGGAATAATGGGGGGAGCCTGGCCCAGTGAACTCTTTTTGCATTCCTGTAGCATTGGGCTCAGTGTGAATCCAGTAAGATTGGCTCTGCTTATGACTAGGTGCTCGTTGTGGTGATGGATTGTCTCATTTTGTGTGTTGGAAGGTCTCGACGCATCTGTCCGTTACAACATTACTGAAGATCACTTGATAGCCGTCTGTCATGCTGTTGGCTTCCCAGAGCCCACCATCACCTGGAACAAGTTGTTCAATTCTACTCCTACCCAGGAGAAGGTCAGCCACCCCAATGGGATGGTGTCTGTCAGCAGTAAACTGGAGATCTACAACATTAAGAGCATTGGAGAGGAGGACTTGACCTGCAGAGTAAGCAACATGAATGAAAAGAGGGAATTGCGTGTGAAAATGAAAGAAGGTAGGTGAGCAATGCAAGCTGCTTGATAGTGTTCTCTTGGCTTCTGTGTCTTGCAATAGCATGTTTAGATAGGAATCTGATGGGAAGAGGGGGGAGTGAGATATTTATATGCCAAGGAAGAGGAAAGGAAATCCTGCTTTGCGTTCATTGTCATTGAGATAATAACATACTGGGGTCCCCTCCAAGAGGCAATAAAGCCAAACTAGTCACCTTGAGGGCTATGGGTTTCAGAGGTGCCATGATTTTTTGCAGCAAGTCAGACTTCAATTTTCACTTAAGACTACATGTTTTCTTTGGCAGCCCAAAAATAAATGGGGACATCTTAAATGCATCAGCATAATGCCTGAATACCGCGTTCTTCCTATGTTCTGTTCTGCTGGAAAGACTTTCGTGCCAGTTCTATAGATGAGAAATAGAAACCTTAAAAGCTGAAGAACCATTCTTGGTTCACACAAGAACATTGATTTAGCTGCTTTAGAATTCGTGTGTTTCCAAATCCAGAGACTTGAGAGGAAGTCCACTTGGAAATTAAGACAGGAAAAGCATCTTGGGATTAACTCCCAAATTATGTGCTCAGGAAGGGATTGTTATAGGTATAGTAGTACGGAGTAAAACCTGACTTTTAATGTATTCTTCCTAAGAGTTCAAAAGCAAATTTGGTCTTCATTCTGAGTGACAGTAATTGAAAAAGCATAATAGTGTTGTCCTGTCTCCAGTGCAATATTCTTTTGGTGTGGCCTTTTAAAAAGGAAATGTGTATCTCAGAAAGCAGGAAACCAAGACTGTTGTTCCTTGCTAGCAGAATGAAAAATCAGCTTTCACAGTATCAGTGAGGAACAGTTGTCATTAATCAAACATCCTCTTGCCTCTTTTTTTGTTCTTTTTCCCATATAAAATAGCTTAGTTTGGTTTTGAGGGTTTTTTATGTGTTTTGCCTCTTTTTTTGTTCTTTTTCCTATATAAAATAGCTTAGTTTGGTTTTGGTTTTTTTTTGTGTGTGTGTTTTGCCTCTTTTTTGTTCTTTTTCCTATATAAAATAGCTTAGTTTGGTTTTGGTTTTTTTTTATGTGTGTTTTGCCTCTTTTTTGTTCTTTTTTCCTATATGAAATAGCTTAGTTTGGTTTTGGGTTGTTTTTTTGTGTGTGTGTTTTGCCTCCTTTTTGTTCTTTTTCCTATATAAAATAGCTTAGTTTGGTTTTGTTTTTTTTTTATGTGTGTTTTGCCTCTTTTTTGTTCTTTTTTCCTATATGAAATAGCTTAGTTTGGTTTTGGGTTGTTTTTTTTTGTGTGTGTTTTGCCTCCTTTTTGTTCTTTTTCCTATATAAAATAGCTTAGTTTGGTTTGGGGTTTTTGTGTGTTATTTTTCTTTCAGAGGCAGGTTCCTCGTGGCTTTGGCTGCCGATTACGGGGGGGATTTTAATTGTCTTCATAGTTCTGATTCTGATCACGCTCTGTTGGAGGAGGAGGATATGCAGGAGGGGTTGAAGTGGTGAGTCACTAATGCATAAAGCTTATAATAACGTCATCTGCAGAGAAGAATGAGACTTTGTTGAGACTGTGACTGATACCAGACAAGTAAACTTTATAATAATATATTTGCAGTTATTAGAGGTTGCTTCAGTTGCATGCAATTTTAAAAGCTGTTTTTCACTGCTACTGCTGAGGACCAGTACAGGACCACCAATCATGAGGGGAAGGTCTAAGCAGAGCAGGACATGCGGCTTGTGGTTTGCTTTCAGGCAGGAGTCTTAGCAGAAGTGATTCACTCATCTTTCATGGAGGGCCACTAAGCATGGTCAGGGAATGGCAGAAGAGGTATATTGGAGAGAAACCCGCTTATGCAGAATGATGTGCCCTTAAGGGAAAGGCTTTCTTCTGCTCACAGCACCCTCTTTGTGTTTTTAAGACAAACAGCGTAATGTGATGGAGAGCTGCACTCAAACAAGTCTGCTTCCTGTTGATGACCTAAGGAGAAATTGGGATCACTGTAATGTCCTTGTCCGTGTGATGACCTGATCATGGATTAACTATGTGCACCTACAGAACCTACACTTTAGTTTGGAAACTGAGCAAAGCTGCCTAAAATGCAGAAAAGCTGTTCATTAGGGACTGTAGTGACAGGACAAGGGGTAACAGGTTAAAACTGAAACAGGGGAAGTTTAGATTGGATATAAGGATGAAATTCTTTACTATGAGGGTGGTGAGGCACTGGAATGGGTTGCCCAGGGAAGCTGTGAATGCTCCATCCTTGGCGGTGTTCAAGTCCAGGTTGGACAGAGCCTTGGGTGCCATGGTTTAGTGTGAGGTGTCCCTGTCCATGGCAGGGGGGGTTGGAACTGGATGATCTTAAGGTCCTTTCCAACCCTGACTATTCGATGGTTCTATGTTTAAACTGAAAGCACTGTGCCCCTTCTTCCTCAGCCCATGTCTCAGAGCTTGAAGCCCTTCTCTGTCAGCAAGAGAAATGGGGTCTCACACCCTGCTGCCTGAGAAGACATCTGGGTTCCTGGCCCCACATGTGTGCCAGTGTATTACAGGGTCAGGACTTCATGTAAATACCTGTTCAGTGTGGCAGAGGGGGTAAATTAGATGAGCAGTGGGTGTAAGTTTGTTGTATTAGAGTTTATCCAATAGAAACAGGATTTGAGGGACTTCAATTGCTTGTGTTCCTTCCCATTTATCATGGGATTTGATAAGCTGTGATACCAGGATGTGACTTGTGCAGTGGGCTTTTAAGTTATTCAGTTTCTGTTCGTTTAATATGGCCTAGTTTCTATCAGCCTTAGTCTGTATCTTTTCAGATTATTCCAGTCTTGAGTTGTGAAAATGTGATGTGCTGACCTGGATCCTTTTTGCATGAAGGAACATTACTTTATCCACAGTAATAGTGACCAGCTGATGCTATTCCTTTATACAGTGACCAGCTTAGGGAAATGTGTAGTCCATCTTCCTAATGCACATCTGTTTCCCTGAAGGCCTCATTAATTAGGTTGCTGTAAAACTTCAGTACTGGTGTTGCTTGATCACTCTTTCGCCATCTGATTTTATTAGTTTCTAGATGTTCTTTTCTGCCTGCTGCTAAAAGTTACTTGCTATTTATTTTGTATATAATTCCACTGTCGCGTTCCTGGCCGAATCCTTAGAATGCCAACAATACCTGTGGAGCTACAGTCGTTTTGAACGCTATATGTAGGGTGTATTACCCCTCCACAAATGCCACATTGTAATGGGGAAATCACCTCCAACTTGTTAGCTCCCATCTGAGCAGCTCGCTACGGGCCTCAGTCTGCTTTTTGCGGTGACTTGTGACCTGTGAAATCTGGTTATAATCTTTAAAGCATTGGTTGCAGTTGCTTCACCCAACAGAGAATAATACCTTGGAGAAAGCCTTTTTTCTGTTTTTATCCTCTATTTTCCTCCTGTTTGTGTTGGAACAAGGAGCAATGCTTAAGTACATATTTCTCGGCATGCATTTTGTGACAGCATGATAGAGAGCTAATGATGCTGGCCGGAAGATACCACTGTGTATCTGAGACCATTATCTGGGGCTTCAATACTTCTTTTCATTCTGCGCTAGAAAACAAGCAGAGCTTTTCCAGACCTGTCAAGATGCCTGGTTTTTAAAGGAAAACAACAGCTTTTTTTTTGTCTGGGTGGCTTGGGGACCCTTCTCTGTCCAAGTTTCTTCTCTTCTGCTTCTGCTGTTGAAAGGACGGTTGGGTTTTGCTTAGCTTCTATTTCTGTTGTTTCCTCCTGTCCATGATAGATGCTCGAAAATCAGATGAAGAGCTGGGGCTCTGTTGATGTCCCATCCCTCAGTCATTTGCCTTGCATACCAGTTGCAGAGCATGCATCCATCTCGATTCTCCCTGAAAACATTCCAAGTGTCTTACAAGATTTGAGAAAGAGTCACTTCTTTGGAGACAAACTGAGCAGCCTTTTGTCAAGAGCTGGTGCACAAGCTTTGTAAAACTCCCATCTTCATCCTCTGCCAAGCAGAGAGGTGAACTTTGCACTTCAACCCAGTGATAGGCATGTTATGAGCAGCCTTCAACCATTTCTCAGTGCTGCCCTTCTGGTACAGTTACACCATTTCCTACCTGGCTCAACTAACAGAGCTTTACTGTAGACTACACCAATGTAAAGCAGTGTTTAACAGGCTGAATGCCTGGATTGAAGCAAAATCAAGGCTGTTATTCCGAATGAATTCCTTTGATTTACCTATCGCATAGATGTCTCAACCTGAGTGCTATCCACAGCATCACTGGTGTATTCCAAGGTTTGCAAGGTACTTGCATTTCAGCCTGGCCGGTTAAGAAGATCTATAGTCAGTTCTCATGATCTAGGAGTCTGCAGGGGGGATAAAATTCCATGTAAACAGTTTTAGGGAGGCTTGTGGCGGTCTGTGAGGCTATCTCACAAAGGGATATAAAGGCCAGCGTGATCTTTTTGTTTGGTTGGTTGGGTTTCTTTAAGCGTTGATTTGTTGCTCTCTCTTGGAATATCTTTCCCATGTTTTGCCATGCAGAAAGCTTTCTAAATGGTCAAATAGTATACTTGTGTTTAAAAAGCTATAACAACAGGACAGAATATTCTTTAAGCTTGTCATTGGATACATGCTGTGACCTAAGAAACGCTGAGCGGATTAAATGAACCTGGACCAAGTCAATTTGAAGAGACACCTAAAAAGATACTAGATCCAATGAAAAAAGAATCCATTCTGCAGAAAGCACCAGCAGAGCAGTGGGGTTTTCCTGGTTGGCAATTGAAACATTCAGGTTTTCTTTCAAGCAGGAATTTTATGGAACTTAAAAGAGCGCTAAAAGTCTTTGTTTCAAGAAGTTTGTGTCTAAATACGGCCAACTAACTGTAATTCAAAGAGATGCTGAACTTCAGTGTACCTTGAATGTTACGCAAGTGCTATAAAACAGATTCAAAATACCTCATAGATCCCAGCTACAGATCACTTAATACCCTGATTGGGAATTGAAGATGCCCTGATTGTTAGTTTTTGAAGTTTGGAAGTTGCTACCAATAATGCAGATTCTGTATTGTGAGTCTCTTAAGCTGCAAATAGCAACTCGACTGATGAGCTACAAAGTCTAAGCATCAGAAACCTAAGTTTTGGTGGCCAAAAGTCTCCTGAAAGGTTGGTAAATATGGAAGTCTCATGCAGGAGATTGCGGTCATTTGGGAAACTTTGCAACAACAAGTACTTGCGCACACCTTCCATTGCTTTGTTTATAGGAAAGATGGGAACTATTTCTGGAAGAGCCATTATAGCAGTGTCCTCTAGTGTTTATTCAGTTTGGGGAACACTGTATATAGGATTTGGCTTAAAAGTTAAGACAGTTCTTACTTTATCTGTCTGGCTTTGCTTAGTACAGTGGACTGCTTTGACATACAGCTGGTTTTCTTAACAGTGAGAGACAAGGTAGTCGAGAACAACATAGAAGCTCAGTTTTGGGAGACTTTTCAGGGTACTTTGTCCTGAAGTGGCAGCTGAATACCAGCCTTTCAGATGATAAACACAGTACATAACTCCCTCTTTCATGAAGCAGATGGATATAAGACACCCTGCTCACAGAGGAATGGGTCTCTGGCCGCTGTTTCCCAGCTGGGAAGGTTCATTTTAGGAGAGCCTTGGTTTCCTCTCAAGCGTGGCTTTTTTTGTGCGTAGATTATATTTGTCCTATTTTGAATTCCCGAAAATAGGCAAAAAATGCAGTGGTATAAGTGATAGTTGTTTTGCTCACAGCACCTTCATTTCTTTGCCCTTCTTAACGCTACACCCAAAACCCCAACCAAACAAGAAACCCACACCATAAACGCTCTGCAGGCAAACAGAGCTCATGAGGGGAGAAATTAAACACCAACCAAACAGAAAACCCAACCTCATACTAAAACATCATTGGAGGGGTGACTTTGCCCATCAGGCTTCCTGCAGACAGTTTGCCACATGCTCTTTCCAGGCTATTTCTGTTCCCTATGGAGTCGCTTCATTTTCTGCTCGCAAAAACGTGCTTGGTAATACCCCAGAGTCTACAACCTAGCAAGAAATAGTGTGATCAGGTTGGAACTAGATGATCTTAAGGTTCTTTCCAACCCTAATGATTCTATGATTACATGCTTTCCACAATTCAGTGCTGCTGGTTTTCATGGTGAAGGATAGGGGCAGATGGTGCTTTGCATGCTTCTCAATCCAGCTTCCCATCTGGGAGCAGAGCCGGGTGAAGGAGTGACAGAGGAAGGAGTGGGAGGCACATAGCTGAGTTCAGGACGCCTGGGGCTTGGCTGAGCTTTCTGTCTGGAAGGATGAAATAAATCCTGTGTGCCACCAACAGGATGAAGGCAGTGGTGTGGGAAATATGTCAGAGCATGTCCTGCCCATCAAAAAGCAGAGGTGTCGAAGAATAGGCTACTAATAATGAAGCTATTTCATTGCAAACAGGGAGGCCTTTACTATGTGTGATTAACACTATTTCTACTCTGTGCATCATATTTGTGCTTGTGTTTCATTATGAAATAATTTTCCAGGCCTTCATTCTCCTTTTCATTCCAACAGTAGAACTTTGTTGTATCGAAATAAAATGGCTGGTAGCTGAGAGGAAGAGAAGAATAGCATATTTGTATAGTTGCCTTGCTGTTCCAGTTTCTCATTTAAATCCTTAGTAAGAATTGTTTGCATGCTCAGTTCTGAAATGTTTTTCCTCTACAAAGTGTATTTTGCTCTATGTAGGGTTATTAGATAAGGAGGTGGAAACTTTTTTCTTACTCTATTACATGGGAAGTAAGGATGTCACATAGTTTTGGGGTGGGTATTTTTTCAAGGCCACATAAAGGTAGTGTTGGAAATTGGGTCTCAAACATCAGAGCGATATTCTGAAATATCAGACTATATATTCAATAGCTATATATGCAGATATATATAAGATATACATAACTATTGAATATATAATATATAATATAAAAAGATATATCTCTATTCAATATAGACATACAAGATATATGTTGTAAATATGTATATATATTGTAAATATATATGTTGTAAATTAGATCTCAAACATCAGAGTGATATTCTGAAATATCAGACTATATATTCAATAGATATATATATTGACTATAGATATAGATCTCTATATTATATATTATATATTCAATAGTTATGTATCTCTTATATATATCTTGTGTGTGTATATATATATATATATTGAATATAGATAGTTATATATATACGCACACACACATTCAGTAGTAGAGTATGTTACCAGCCAGGAGCATTGATTTGCTTTTCACACTTGATAAATCCCTTTAGGGTTTTGTATGTTCCTTACCTTACTGTCATGGTCTGAATGCTGCAGTGGGAGTGATCTCCAGAATTTTTACAAGTTGGTTGGTTTAGTAGCAGGTTAGGGTTTTTTTAAAAAGAACCCCCCCCAAAAACCCACAAATTTTCTTTTTTTGTAAATCTGAAATATTGTTTGAACAGGTGTTGGTGGTCTTAGTTTAATGACGACAAAGAACAGTAATAACTTCATTGCTTCACGTGATGTTGTATCAGTAGGAAATGGAGAATGCTTTCTTTCTTTTGCTTTTATCTATTTCTTTTCTTTCTCCAGTAGATGATTCTAGGTTGGAACCAGATGATCCTAAGGTCCTTTCCAACCCGAACCATACCATGATCATAGAATTATAGAATAGTTAGGGTTGGAAAGGACCTTAAGATCATCCAGTTCCAACCCCCCTGCCATGGGCAGGGACACCTCACACTAAACCATGTTGCCTAAAGCTCTGTCCAACCTGGCCTTGAGCACTGCCAGGGATGAAGCATTCACAACTTCCTTGGGCAACCCATTCCAGTGCCTCACCACCCTTATAGTAAAGAACTTCCTCCTTATTATTATTATACATAAAGAGATTAATATTAATTCTGAAAATGTGTCATGCCATGTTGTTTGTCCCTTGTTTGGAAATGTCTTTATTTGTGTTCTACTGTGCAAATATGCAGTAAGGCTTTGTACTCAGCTGCCAACCTCTACATTCCAGTGTTGCGATCGTCCACTTGCTTCCAAGGTACCCTATCAGGTTTCCAGGAGGTGAAAGCAAGGGAATCTAAGCCATGTTTACGTTGAGGTGGAGGGAAGGGTTATGGGGCATAGCAGTAGTTCAGATGGCTGCAGTCAGCTTAAGGACTGGCTGATGGTGCTGTGCAACACAAGCAGTGCCACCACTTGCATGCTGCTCCAGCGCTTACCTGAAGGCAGAAACAGCTTTTAAGCTGTTCTTTCCAAACTTCCACCATAACTGTTATGGTGGAACGTGCAATCTGCATCCTGATACGTGATCTCCTCCAGGTTTCTGAAGAGGGCTGGCTGCTGTTTCCAAGTGGCAGGAAAGCAAAGGGCAGCATAACCAGTGAGCTGGCTGAAGCCTTGACACTGCAAGCCCAGGGGCAAAGGCTAGCAGTCCTTTTTTAGCCACGTCTCTAGGCACTGTAATCAGAGCTGTAGAGTGATTTAGAATAGCTTGGGGAGGGGGAAGACCATCTTAAAGGAGAGGGAGACAAAAAAGATACGGCACTTTTATAGGGTGCTGTAAGCTGGGCTGATTTTTATCCTTGGTGATTGAAATCATCAGGCGAAAGGATTTGATTCCTATCTCTCAATGTAGTTCTGTTTTCTCTTTCTCTATTGCCATTAGTTTCCTTAAGTAAACTCCACTTAAAATTTTACTTATTTACTTTAGAATAAATGTTTGTTGTGGCTGTACTGTGGTAACTGCAAAACCTCATTCAGGGATCATAAACTGAAATTCACAGGTAAATGGGTATCTTGTGTAATACAGACTACTTGGGCTTTTTCGGCAGTGTATTACTCTACGCTGGTAATGTCTTTTGGAGCTACTGCCAAGCAGGATCGCATGGCTTCCTCCCAAGGTGAAATAGTTTGAAGGCAGCTTGGTGCTCGTGGTAAATGCCCTTTGAATGGGATGTTGGTGGGCTGGGTAGTTTATCCCCACCCAAGATAAAACACTGCTTCGTAGTGCTTAGCGTGACATTTTCATAACCTCATTTCAGGCTTTCTCATGAATGCTCCCAGAGGAATTTCTATTGCTTAAGGAGAAAATGGGAGAGAGAGAAAGTATTGTTTTTTTTTTCCCCACCAATTTTAAGACTGTTTTGTCCTTGGAGCATAGCAAAATATCAGGGGGCTGAACATCCCTCAGAGTATCCCTTTTGAGAAGTCAGGGAGGGGCTGTTGTCTATGCTGGCAATAAGTTGCTTATATATAAGCATCTTGCCCCTTTAGAGGGCGAGATGATTGCAGCCTGTTCTGCAACAGGCTGAAGCCTGTTTTGTTGTACTTTAGGAAGATTCACTACTCATTGTGCAGCAAGGAAGGTCCTATGATTGTTTGCCAAAGGGCATTTTTATGACTGTTCCTCCCCAGTTTTCCCACTGTGCATTTCTCCCCCCACCACCCAGCAAGACCTGAATAAGCAACACAGTGACCACGATTCATCCTTTTTTCCTGTTTTCCCTTTGTTTTTTAGGATCCTAGAAGATTTCCATTCACCTGCCCCATCATTACAACCCACAAGCCTGAAGCCAAGCATTACAAGCAGTGACTTGACTAGCTAGAAATAAACAACAATAAAACAGAAATGTACCACGTACGCTGCCCTATCTAGATACTGAGTTGGATCACTCAGTTGAAAAGAACAGCACAATGTTCATTATCCGGCCTAGATGCTTAATTATAAAAGGTAGGGCCAGAGGGACCACTTAACCTGCTCCTTGGCTGCCAGGCAAAATCTACTTCGCTTGTGCCATGCTTGCAAGATGTGCTGCCATGCTAAATGTATTTGCCTTCTTCCAATGGAGTTTTGACAGCATCCATGGATGGAGGCTCTGCAAACTCTAATTGCTCTTGCAGCAGAGGGGTTTAGTTTTTTACCAGCATCGCTGCAAGTTCACTTGCAGCAGCTCTGCGTTCATTGCCCTCTTCCTGACAGCCTGTTTTCTTTCTCCTATCCAGCTGATCCAACTCCTTTTCCTCAGTGAGTGCATGAATGTGGCAACTATTGCTTAACTCTTTCTAGAGAGACCTGCTGGACTCAAAACCACGGGACTCCAGCCACACCAAATCTGCTGAAGTTACTGGGGAAGAGCAATAGGGCTCCAAGCAGGTGACAGATTCAAGGCAGTAGCAGCCATAGTTTGGGGGAAAAAAAGGGGTTATAAGTAATTTATTTATCTAGTTTTTCTTTCTAACCCTGGGGTTTTGTTGTTTGGGCTGGGGGGTTTTTGGTTGTTTGGTTATTTTATGTATATGTATTTTTTAACATTTAATTGAGGAGGAGATGGAAGCAAAGCTTAGTGGAATTATCCCCATTTTTCCTTTGGTTTTGTCCCTTTGCCTCTTTCCCTTTCCTTTCTATTTCTCTCATTTTTTCTCTGGAACAACCATTAATACCCAGTCTGTTCCTTGCTTGGGTGTCGTAATGCATGGATTAGGTTTGCCAATAGTTCTCATGGTCGCTTTATGCTCTGTTCCAAATAGTCTTCAGTCTTCATCCTTTTCTGTGGTGTCTTTTTAAACACAGACAGATTATTCTGCTGGCCAAAAGCCATTATTCCAGACTTGGACCTTTTCTGTGGGGCATGTTACACCCTGAACTATTGCGTGTCACTTCTGTGAATGTAATGGTATCAGTGGGAGTCTTGCAGAAGCTGAATTTACTGCTTTGCCCTGGTTTTGGCAGCAGATAAAGACACTGCACCACTCTTATGAACTGGGACCTAACTCTTGCTTGCTGTGCTTGTGAGAGCAGCCTGCTCCTGGGCACTGCATATCGTATTTGTGAGGGGCAGAGCCTCAACTCTTCCGCTGTGCTGGTTTTGGCTGCGATGGAGTTAATTTTCTTTATAGGCTCTAGTATGAGGCTACTCCTTGAACTCTTCCCCGTCCCACAGGGGAGTGAGCAGCCGCTGTGTGGTGCTTAGCTGCTGGCTGGTGTTAAACCACGACAGCCTCCCAGTGCCTTGGCAGGGCTCTGTGCCCCCTTCACCAGCAAACGTTGCTAAAACCATGCCTACCTCTGGCCGTACAACTGTGGCCCATTTTACTGCCACCATAGACAGATGAGAGGCCTGCAGGGGTTCTCTGGTGCTGAGTGCTAATGTTTAAGGTGTTTCTCAGCCTTCCTTCTGTCTGAATGTTTGTCATCGTGTTGGGAACACTACAGTATTCCCTTGTCGTTTGGGTTTGATTAACGTCTGTTTGTGCATCTGAACTATTCCCTCTTACTAAGTGCACGGTGGTTTGGGTTGTGCTTTTTATGTCCTGTGTTTACTTGAGGGTACAAACTGTTAATCTAAACAATCCACAGGGTGCAAGACTTACGAGTGAGCTCTCAGAACCAATGTTCTGTTGGCTCCCGAGGAGCAGCATCGCTAGAGCCTGGCAAAAAGCTCTGTGTGTGTGTGTATGCCTGCGTGCGTTACTGAGGATGTGAGAGGTGACGTTTGCTATTGCTATTGCAGGTGCAATATGATTTATTTGTTTGTATATTCTACGTTTTCTAATTAAAAAAAAAAACCTAAACTAACAAATCTGATCCAGACTAACACCAAGTGATCATTTTTTTTTTTTTTGGGGGGGGGGGGTATTTTTATGCTTATTTAGAATGCTAATAATGCTTCACTGCAAGTCGGGCTTAAGAAAAAATGAATCAAACTAACTTTTGAGCTACATTTACAGAAGTATTTTTGATCCCTTCAGATTTGAAGATGACTTCAGACAATCAAGAAATTGCATTTTGTATTTTTAGAGGCATTCTCTGTATACCGTGTTAGCGCCTTCGTTGTTCTTTAACTCCAGTTACATGCTTAGTGATGAACGGGCTGAGCTGTTTTCTGTATTTGCCTTTGCTGAGACAGAAATCAAATAAACCAGCTTTGAACATAAGGCTGCTTGATTCCTTTCATTCCATAGCACACTGCTTGTGAGCTTTTTTAAACCGGGGAGAGAGGCATCACAAAGGAGCTCTTAAGTGCTTAAAGAATTCCTTTGGGAAAGGCAGCAGTGACCTGGTGTATTCTTCAAGGCATTTTGAGCTGAATTGTAAAACCACAATCATTTTTGTTTGTCATGGCATCAAGTGGTGGTTTTCTTCTTGAAAGGTGTGATAGTGAGAAACTTGGATCTAGTTAAAAGGACATGGCAATGCTGCCATCTCCCTCAAGGAGCTGGGCATTGTGGGATTATGCCCTGCCTTCCAACACCAGTGAAAGGCAGCAGTTTATTGCTTGTCTGATCTCTGCTGCTTGGTAGAATAGGCAGTGATTTCCAGAGGCCTTCAGATTGCAACATGAACTCCCAACTCTTGACTTTTCAGGGAAAGAGATGGCCACTACTGATGGTTTCTGAAGAGCTTCCTACGGGATGCTGGTCAGGAGTGCACATTGGTGGTTTCTTCGGGGAATCTGGCCCTCTGGGATCAGCCAGGTCACGTCTCCACGCACAAAGGGAAGGCAGTGAGCCAGCAGCACCGCTGCCCTGAGCGCGGTGTGGGGCAGCTGTGGTGTCCCCAGGCAGAAGAGCAGAAAGGCTGCTTGCTGCCTTGCTTGGCACCGCTCGCACGGTGAGTTGTGCTGGCTGAGTAGGGCAAGAGCCAAGCAGTGAGGGCTGGGGCTGAGGTATTGGTAGCAGGGCCAAATGACCTCAGAGAAAGCAGATTGACACACACACACCACCCCCCCTTAACCTCACAAAAGGTAAACGCAGAATAGCAGGTTTCCTCAGGGAAAACTCAAGGTTGCTGTAAAAGGTTGCTTTTTCTGGCTGACAGCCTGCTTCTTAGAACCTGTCAAGATACTTGCTTTTGTTCCCTGGTCACGATGAATTGTTGAGTTCCTGCAGCTGCGTCCTCTCTTTGTGTGCTTTTGTCTCCAGCACGCTCAAGGATGCCATTGTCATTAGTCTCAAATTGTGCTGACATGCAACACAGGAAAGCAAAACGTCTGCTAGAGATCTGAGCTGCTAGAGATCTGAGCTTCCATGCATGGCAATGGTGATGGAAAAGAGGGTCGTCAAAACCCCAGAATGCAGGAATGGGCTTCTAGGAAAGAGGCAGTTGGCAAGAACATCATCGCTTCTGATGGCAGGGTGAGGGTGATCTTTGCTTTTTGCCTCGGGGGTTTTGTCATTGTCTTGCTATACTGATCACCCAGCCTGAGGCTGGGACAGCTGCTCCAGCTGCCTCCGAATAAGTGGTGAATGCATGCTTGGGTTTCCTCTTGTATCCTCATCCTTTAACCATCCATGAATTTTGCTTCTGCACAGTGTATTTCCAGTTTGAAGTCTGAGATTTGGATGCTTCTGGATGACTTTGTCTCTGTCGTGGCATCCCATGTGCCTGCCTGCTCTGCTCCAGCATCACCTGGCTGCTGCCCTGCTGACTAAAACGCTGTTTGCTTTCAAAGCATGGCAGCATCTGTTGTCAAAGTCTGCTGCATAGCGAGATGTCAAGGGAGGAAGTGCAGGACAATTTTAGAAGCTAAGAGGATGTATGGGGTGTGGGGGGTGTCTGGATTTTCTTTTTCCTTAAGACAGGCAGAATCATTGGCAGAATCAACACTAACGAGAATTTGCATGTTGATGGTCGGTATTTATCACCTGGAAAGGCTTTAAAGAGCTTTCAGCTTCAAGCTGAGAGCACTTAAATGCGTTTTTCTGAGACCACATGCAATGAACAACATTCACTTTATACAGATATCACCTGCTGCTTTCTCTCTGGGACCTCATGTGAGTTGAATAGGGTGTTTCTTGTTTCTATTTCTGTGGCCCTGCCCTCACGACATCCATCTGGAAACGCCCAAAGCCTTGGCCAGCTTGTTTCCGTACAGTCAGCTGCCTAATGGTGTGCTGATCATTTTGTGTCCTAGAAGAAGCTCACTTCATGGCGTTTCCAGCGCATCCAAAAGCTCATCAGCGCTAGTGCTGGGATGGCAAGCGTCTGACATTCAGCAGCTTTCATGGGTTGTCTTCCAAACGCCTGCCTGGATGGAGCCTGAGGCAGGCTGTGTGCCCTGCCTTGGTAGGAAAGCCTATGGATAGCGAGCTTCTTAGCCTCTCAACGCCTGAAGCCTCATGTTGAAGAAGAAAGCCAACGCGCAGCTTCCATGTGCCAAAAGGATCGGTATCTCCCCTGGAGATCGAGGGTCTTTCTGCCACAGGATACATAGGGATGGCTCAAAGGAAATGGAAACAGAAGTAAGCCTGCCTTGTGAGGGAAATGTGGCTCTCTGGACAGAGACCTGGGCTGCAAAGTGTAAGACTGCAGCCCAAGCCTTGCTAATCTGGGTTTTCTTAAGGACACAGAGGAAATGGATTCCCTACTAATTGCAGCTTAGTAAAAACACTTCTGGAAAACAATGTAGCCAAGTGTAGTAGGCTGACAAAAGGAAGTGGGGTGTTTCCCACTGCTGACTTGAACCTGGGTTTAAACAGGTCACTGCTCGGCAGATGAAGCATAGATCAGATTGCCTGTCTGGCAACAGTTAACAAGCTATTAGTTAATGTATTTTGGTAAGGAAACGTTGCAAGAGAATGATTTATATCTGATTTCACCCACTCTGAAAGTGCTTCTGATTTCAACTTCTTTCTTCCTGATCATGTCCTTCCCTATTCAGGTTTCCCTGACCTCTGGTTCCTCTAAATCCTGGACAAGTCCCTTCCTTCTTTGCAAAGGATTTTGGCTGAAGAGTGATGTTTTCTTGCTTATCTGGATGCTCTCTCCATCTGGCTGCTCCCTTCTCCAATACCTGAGAATACACAGCGTGAAGGTGTTAGCATCCTCCTGGGTCACAATAACCACACTGTGAAAGTAGCTCCGGTGAAAGCTCATCCCAG